CTCAGTGAGGGGATGGCTGAACCGTGGATTGTAGCTGGAGACATTAATGTGGTTTCGTCAGCAGAGGAGCGCAGCGAGGGCTCCCCAGTTAATGTTACAAACATGGAGGAGTTCAATTCCTCAATGTTTGTCTGTGGGTTGTCCTCTGTTGATTTTGATGGATGCTAATTCACTTGGACTAACAGTTCCATCTGGCAGCGTTTGGACAGGGCTTCAATTAATTCTTGATGGGCGAAGGTATACGACTTTACCAAGGTCTCTCATCTTCATCGAGGTTGATCAGATCATGCTCCACTGCTAATTCGGGTGGGGTCGGTTTCAGCTTCTCCTTCTCTCTCATTTCGATTCCTCAATGTGTGGCAGAACCATTCCTCTTTTCTCTAGACTGTCTCACTAGATTGGCAAAATTCTGGCTCGGGGATGGGGATGAGTAAATTTCATCCTAAGCTAGTATCCCTGCAGGGAAAGCTTAAAGGGTGGAGTAATGGTGTATTTGGCAATATTTACTCCGGGGTCATATCAACAGAGATTGTTTATAAGCAGCGAGAGCTAGAGTTCAATTCTTTTTGTGATGAATCTTCTAAACTTCACCTTAATGGAGCGAGAGCTTTGTATTTAAGGCATTGTCTGTCGAGTGTGAGTTCTGGAGACAAAAGGCTACCGTTAAGTGGCTTAAAGAAGGCAATGCAAACACTTCCTTTTTTCACTCGGTGGTGAGACAGAAGAGGAGTTCCAATTTCATTTCGAGAATTAAAGATGATTCCTTAGGTTGGTTACATGGTGTGGAGGAAATAAAGGAATCGGTGGTGTAATTTTTCTCGTCTCTTTTTAGGTCGGATGGTTTTGTAACATCTCCCGTACTGCCTTTTGAGTTGCCCAGGGTGGACCCTTCGGATAATGACACACTTCAGAAACTCCCTGATATGGACGAGCTTCGATCGGTGGTATTCTCTATGGATGCTAATAGTGCTTGCGGACTGAATGGATTTGGGGCTGGGTTTTATCAGCAATGCTAGGATGTCATTAAAGATGACTTATTATTGGCGGTTCAGGACTTTTTCGAGGTGCTGGGCAATCTAGGAGTTTTTCAAGTGATTTGATAGTATTAATACCAAAGGTTGAGAGTGCATCACAATGGAAGGAATTTAGGCCCATCAGCTTATGTAATGTTAGCTCCAAAATTATTTCTCAAATATTGGCAAATAGGCTAGGGAGGTTGCTACCCAAACTTATTCCTCCTTGGCAAACAGGCTTTGTACCTGGGAAGGGTATAATGGACAATGTTCTGCTGGCCCAAGAGCTGGTATTAGATCTGGATAGGCGCTTGTCTGTTCCGAATTTGATTCTCAAGCTTGACATGGAGAAAGCATACGATAGAGTGGAATGGCCGTTCCTGTTATTCATGCTTTGCATTTTTGGTTTTTCTGAAGTTATGGTGGATTTACTCTTTCAAACCTTCTCCAATTCTTGGTTTTCAATACTTGTTAATGGGCAGCCGGTCGGATTTTTTAAATCTAGTCGGGGTGTTAGGCTGGGTGATCCGCTATCCTCGGCATTACTTCTTTTTGTGGATGAATTCCTAGGTCGGGGACTTTAGGAGTTTTGCCGTACTCAGATGGACAGTTGTTATATTTTGGCTGGTATCAGGGTGCCATATCTTGGCTTTGCTGATGACACGATAATCTTTACTCGCTTTTGGATAGTTGTTTATTGCGGTTAAGGGACTTTCTGCTCCTTTATCAAAAACATTCGGGCCAAAAGGTGAATGTGGATAAGAGCTCTTTCCTTGCTTCCTCCAGAATGACAGAAAACCAGTGCAGATTGGTAGTGTTGATGCTAGGCTTCCATAAACAGTCCTTTCCCATGAACTTCCCAACTTCCTATGAACTAGAGGAATCCCTAGATACTTCATGGGAAGTTGGGGACAGTGGTCTTTGATAGTCTGTTGACTAAACTCAGAGCAAGGTTGTTCCATTGGAGCTCGAAGTTATTAAGCATGGGTGGCAAGATAATTTTGCTTAGGCATGTGCTTTGCTCGATTCCATTATATTTGTTACAGGTAGTCTGCCCTTCGAAATTGGTGCTCGTCACTTGGGTTGGATTTGCAATTCCTTCCTTTGGGACTTCAATGCCGACTCGAAGCGATTGCACTAGGCGGCGTGGGAGAAGCTATGCTTTCTAGTTCAGGAAGGTAGCTTGGGGGTTCGCTCCTTGCTTGATACCACTCGAGCATTTGCTTGCAAGTCATGGTGGCAGCTGCTCAAGAACGATTCGATGTGGGCAATCTTCATGCATGAGAAATACGTTAAGGGGGTGCATTTTTTGCCGGTTAAGGTAGATCGCCCCCCGGCTACATGGCGGAGATTGCTTGATGTTAGGGATTTTGTTGAGTCGAGAATCAGATGGAGTTTAGGTAGGGGGCCAGTTGATTTTTGGCATTGCATCTGGTATGGCGAAATATCATTGGCTTGCAAACTGGAGCGGCACAACCCCTCGTATTTCCTTGTGGGAGAGTTCTTTACCGATCAGGATTGGAATGGACCTCGTCTTCGACAGTGGGTGCCAGAACTCGTTGTTAAAAGGATCACACAGTTGCAGTTTTACTTGGATCAAGGTGATGACATGGTGTGGCTACCATCCTCTACTGGAAATTTCTAGGTGTCGTCGCCATGTGAGGACATTCGCCAGAAACGAAACCTTTCCATGGTTGATAGATATGTATGGAGTCCATTAGTCCTTTTGAAAATGTCCTTTTTTGTTTGGCGCTTGTTGAGACGGTGGCTCCCACTTGACGGAATCCTACAGGGCAAGGGATTGGCGTTATGCTCTATGTGTAACTGTTGTCGGATGGCACAGAAAACACGGAATCACCTGATTTTGTATGGTCCATTGGCTATGGCGGTTTGGAGGCATTTTTCTAGGATTTTTGGCTTGCTCTCTAGCAATGTGTCTGGCATGTCCTCGATGTTGAATCATTGGTTCCTTTCTCATTCTGGTGTATCAGTGTCACATGTATGCGTTCTTATTCTGATGTTAGTTCTGTGGTTTATATGGTAAGGTAGGAACATGGCTAGGTTTCAAGCGAGCTCCTTCACTGCGGATCAAGTGATATTTCAAATTGAGCAGTTTTTGGGTCAAATGTCGAGGGGGTTTGCTTTCTACAATTTCTTATGTAGGTGATTCGGATTGCTCATGGGCAAGGTTTGCTCGTACACGATATCTGAAAACACAGATTGACTTAGTGTCTTGGCGTCGACCTTCAAGGGGATGGCTAAAGTTGAACTCTGATGCCAGCGTGGTGCATGGCAGGGCGTCGGGAGGAGAGGTCTTGCGAGACCACGTTGGAAAAGCCTTTTTCACTTATTACAAGGAGTTCAGGGAGCTAGATGTTTTATCGGCAGAGGCAATGTCTTTGCTGGAGGGGTTAAGTTATGTGCTAATCAGGGGTATAACTGTTTAGTTGTGGAATTAGATTCAAAGGTGTTGGTTAATATGGTTTGTTCTGGTGCTCTGTCTAAATGGCCTTTGTGTAATTTGCTGAGAGAGATTCGGCATTGGCTCGAAAGGCTGAACGGAATCGCTACATCATGTGTATAGGGAAGATAACTTGGTGGCGGATGCCTTAGCTTCTTTGAAACTGAGGTTCCAGATACATTATGATTTGTTGGCCACCATGCCGGTTGAGGTTAGGGCTGCCGTCCATTTAGATAGTCGGGAGGTGCCTAAGATTAGGGTATCAATTGTACAAGGGTAGCGCTGCCTTTTATTCTCTAAAACCATGTATTCTTTGGAATGTATCAATAAAATATAGGGCTGGCCCCTTTTTTTTGAAAAAAAAAAAAGAACATTATTGGGTTTATCAGATCTCAATACTAAGGAAGTGAATACAATAATAAACATACACGCGTATCATTATTTGTAACCATTGAATCTTGATGAAATCAAGTGATACGTTCCTAGGTTAGATGCTCTCTCTCTCTCATTTTTGTATGGTGGCTTTCAATGAGGCAATCACTCCTAATAGCCTATATTTATGAGTTGTAGTATTATAGACGGGAGAGAGGGATCTAACCATAATATTTTAATTGGATCCTTTTATTAAGGAACATTGAATGCAGATCCTACACTTTATATACCACACCTTGATAGTTTCACTTTGATAAACCTACACTCACACAATATGTTTGTCTCAATCAATAGTGGATACAATGGGTTTGGTCTTATTTAAACCTGTTTTAAAAATAAATAGCTAGTGACAACCTAAATAAAGAAAATATTTCTAGCATTCTCTCACTTGGACAACACTAATTAATTTAAGTTTGATAAAAAAAAGGGTTAAAAACAAAAAAGCCCCCTGTGATAAGCCTAATACACAGAAAAGCCCCCCATGGTTTCAAAATATACAACACGACCCCTCATGCTTTGAACTAAATTGTAAAGGTGACGGAATCCGTTAAACTTAACGGAAATGACTTATTGGAACCTAAAAAAAATTTTTTATACCTAATTTTTATCAAATATACCTATTCTACCCCTTAACTCTCAATTTTCTCTACTTAAAAAATAAAACAAATGATTTTTTTGAGCTGTCTTTTGTTTAATTATATAAGGGTATTTTGGTCATTTTGACCATTTCCGTTAAGTTTAACGGATTCCGTCACCTTTACAATTTAGTTCAAAGCATAAGGGGTCGTGTTGTATATTTTGAAACCATGGGGGGCTTTTCTGTGTATTAGGCTTATCACAGGGGGCTTTTTTGTTTTTAACCCTAAAAAAAATAATAAAAAGACTCTTTGGGTTAAACATTATTATAGCGGCCACTAAAAAACATCTTAGTCGAGAATTTCGTATAATAAAAAGACTTATATCAAACCATAGACATCTTTACATTATCTTTTTTTTTATTTAAACTGCCAGCAACACTGGTGGGGGGAGGGGGGCAAAGCACCCATATTATTGAAACAAAAATCCAAGATTATACGGAGAGGATAGGGCACACCCTACCTTCTTCTCTGGTGAAAATTACAAACACCCAATCTATCTAAATGCACTAACGCCCTAGACAACTTAGGCAGACCCTGTTGTGCCTGAAATAGCATAAAGGAGCCAGAAAAAATTGAGAATGATGCCAGGGAGTCAGCCACCATATTCACTTCCCGAAAGCAGTGTATGACTGAAATGACAAGAGGATCAAAACAACGGATCTTCTGAATCACCGAACGAATAGAAGAAGGACCTATAGATTTAGAAACCAGAATACCCCATAGAAGTTTAGAATCAGTCTCCACCACTATCCCAGAGAGACCCTTTGAGGCACAAATTTCAAGCCCGGTATAGAGAGCCCGAGCCTCCACCTGTAGGGAAGAAGTAGAACCATAGTACTTTGCAAATGCAAACACCACATCACCATTTGAATCTCTGAGAATCCCTCCGCCACCTCTTAGCCTTGGATTCCCATGCGAGGAGCCATCTGTATTTAGCTTAACATACCCATCTAATGGCCGTAACCAAACAACCAAGATTGAAATAAAACCTTCTTGGCAAGTCTTGCAACTGACGCACTAAATCTTTACATTATCTAATAGTATAGAATTTCTACAATTACAGATACTAATAGTTCATTGACATGAATATCATGGTACGATAAAATGTACGGTGGTTTGATTCACATGATCCAAAAGTAAAGTGTACAAGTCAAAACCACAATCAATCCACTTTATAGTCTCATAAAAACTCTTGATAACCATAAATATTAGGTATTTGTTCTAATGGAAGGAGAAGAAGAGCATGATATGAAGCAAGTCTCATCGATAGACTCTATACCTAAAAGTGGATAGGTTATGTAAGAAAATTCAATCAAGCAAATTAGGAGGTAAGCATCAATTGTTTGGGATGGTTTTGATACTTTAGCAATGACTACTGATGGAAAAGGAAAAGAGTTAAGTGTAAATGGTGTGTATGAACATATTTTTTGAAAGGTAATTTTGAAACATCGAATATGCTCAAGCATTTTTAATCTTGCAAGTGGAAAGAGCTAAAAAATACAAATTTGGGGGCTCCTTTAGATCAACCTGTGTATTGTGAAAAGATTGTAGTTGCTATTATAAAACACAAATTACCATTTTGAATTTATGGAACATGAGGGCATCCAAGATCTACATAACTTTTTAATTGAAGAGGCAAAATCTGTATCAAGAAACACAATCAAAGCTGATGTGGTGAGAATGTGTATGCAAGTGAAAAAAAAATCTTAAACATGCCTTAGAGAATATAAAGAGTAGAATATGTTTGACATTTGATCTATGGAGTTCCTACACTACAGATGGTTATCTAGTACTCACAACTCATTATGTTGATAAAGATTGGGTGCTCCAAAAATGGATATTGAAATTCCGCCATATGATATCTCTTTGACAATTGGGTAAATTTACTCAGAGAATGGGGAATTGAAAAGAAAATTTTCTTATCAACTATGGATAATGCAGTCCACAACAATATTTTGGTGAATATTTTAAAACATCATTTGAAGATTGCTGGTCCATTGGTGTGTGATGGAGAATTTTTTCATGTGCATTATGGAACACACATTTTAAATTTGATAGTAAAAGTAGGTTTAGAAACAATTGAGGAACCTCTTTGAAAAATTCGAGAATCTGTCAAGTATGCTCGATCAAGAGAAGCAAGGAAAGTCAAATTTGCTGAATGCATTGCTAGAGAGTCTATGAATTGCAAAAACAAAGTTCGACAGGATATTCCAACAAGATGAAATTCAACATATCTTATGTCTGAATCTGCTTTGAAGCATCGAGCAACATTTCAAGAGTTGCAATTAGTTGATTCAAATTATAAATGTTTCTATCAGATGAAGTCATATATCTATTTTTGAAATCATCTTCTGATGTCATTATATTATTTTCTGGATCTCATTATCCTATTGCTAATTTATGTTTTTCATAGGGTTTAGAAAATTCAGCAGCTAATTTGTGAAGAAATGCATAGTCTAGATCGATGATGATTTTGTGCAAATGGCTATAAAAATGCATGATAAGTTTAACAAATATTGGGATTGGTATAGTTTTGTATCGAGTTCTACTGTGATATTGGATCCATGTTTTTAAATTGCAATGGGTAGAATTTTGTTTAACAAAAATATACCCAAGGACTTTTTCTACATATGTAAGGGAGATTCGTGAGAAACTACATTTGATGTTTGATGATTATATGCAATTATATCCCTCAATTATGACAGATTCATCATAAGTAGCATCTTCTGGTGAGGAAGTTAAGAGTCAACACTATAACTCAAATAGGAATACATCACAGTTGGATTTGTATTTAAATGAGAACAAACTTCTAACAAAAGAAGATTTGGATATACTTCAATTTTGGAAAGAAAATAAAAGTCAGTATTTAGTGATTTCATTGATGGCACGTGACATTTTGAGTATTCCTATTACTACAGTGGTTTAGAGTCCACTTTCAGTATTGGTGATCGGATTGTCAATAAATATCATAGTACTATCTTGTTAGAGAATGTAGAGGCTTTGATATGCACTGAGGATTGGTTATATGATAAAAAATGTAAGTAATTTGTATATTAGTAATTTTTTTAAAAATTACTTTCACTGTACATAATATTTAGGGCAGTTAAATTATTATTTTTCTTTACTGAGAAATGAGGTATTTGCTATTCTGTGATATTAATATAGTTTCACAAGAAAATGCCGAGCAAGAAGCTGCATTAATTATAGATTTTGCTCCATTAGTTACAAAACTTCTTGGCTCCAATAGAGAAGTTCACAAAGAGGAAGCCTAGTCATGTGACTTATTGGATTGCTCAGAGTTGACATAGCTTTTAGTTGATGATTGGATTGGTCAAAGGTGATATAGTTATTGATTTATGGAGCATGTTCTACACTTTCATACTTGGTGGTCTTTGTAATTAAGATATAGTTGGTAGTCATGTATGTGTGTAAGGAAATTCACAAACATATATAGTTAAACATATATTTCATTTGTGGAAAATATCTAATTCTTTGAGTCTACCTTTACCTTTTTCTAGTTTCTGTATTGCAAGATTGCATTTATATATAGTTGTGCTTCAAACCCTGATAATTGGACCTCTAATTTCTTATGCAATTGCAATGTCCATGGTACAGGGTGTTTACTATTATTTCTGTTAAACATTTAGGAGTAAGACTGAAACTGCAACACTTAAACAAATGAAAAATGGTGTCAGTGATGTTCTCACCACTTGTGGAGGCTGCTTTATCTGGGTAATTTACTTCTATAGGATAGATTGAGTTAATTCCTGTTGGATACACTTGATTGATCATTTCATTTATTTCAGCTCTATTAACAACAATAGGAGACTTTCTTGGTCTTGATCTGAAATGTTCTTCATGCTTCATTGGGCAGCAAAACGTATATGAATGCACCAAAGTGAAATGGATATTATAGAATAAATAATTACCCAATAGATTTAGAATGTTTCATATGTTTTTACACCTATCTTGTACCTGTGTCTTTGAACTATTGGTGCAACCTCTTCTTTCTTGCTAGGACCATAATTCATAATGTAAATTGCTAAAATGATGCAGTTCAATAGTTTTTACTTCAAAATGGTCATTAACTATAACACATACTGATCTTTACATTGTAATTTTTTATCAACTAATATATTTTTAACTACATGTCTCTATGAATTTCTTTGTCAACTAATTCTTTATCAACTTATAAAGTAGACCATTTGGATTGATTCAACACTCTGAGTTCGAGTGTAACAATGAAATTTGTATGTAGTGGTGCTGCTGAAATTGTTGGCCAAATAATGCCTTTGCATCTATAATGTATGAAGTTGTAAATGATATTCTTGGAGTTGAGATGAAGATATCATATTGAAACAAATGGAGGATTCAGAATATGCTTTTGTAGTGTCATACTGATTGTGTGAGTTAGAGAAATGTAGAGGGTATTGAATAGGCATTGTGGCCTTTTCCTTTTTGACCCTTCATAGAGTCTATTTCCCTCATTCTTTCACATGGTGCCCCTGATACGATTAGATAGATGGTATTTCAATGTATGCATTAGGAATTTAGTTTGCCATCTGTTATTATCTTTGTGTAATTGATTATTTGAGTAGAAATGAGTTTGGGTTTCTATTATTGCTCATCCATCCATTCCACTAAATCATGGCAACGCTATAATTTGTTGTAAATAATAGAGTGCTTCACTAGTTTATACTTATTATTTTTCATGTGAAATTTTTCTTTGAAATTATATAGAAACAGGAGGTATTTAACAATATTTTTTTGGTAAGATGGTATATTAATCATATGAGTTCTTACAACTATGAAACTGTAGCTTTTGGCTACTCATATTTGTACTAAACTAAGAATGAATTTTTTTTGGGAAAATTGTGAGCTAACAAATGAAAAATTATTTTACAACTATTCTAATTTTTTTTTTATATAAAACCTAAGTACTTTGTTCTCTTTCTCACCCAAATGCACCTAAAATTCGCATGTGCGTAAAAAAGTATCTTCCATATTACAAGAAATAGTAAAACAAAAAAAAACTAAAATATTTAAATGGGTTATAAATGAATAATTGGTTATCATTTAATCCATTTAGATTCATTTATTAAAAGGATCTAAATAGATTGGATAAATTTCATCCACCATCCATTAAATCTAAACCAATTATGAACCATTTATCTATATTGCCACATCTATTTTAGAGTATTGGTCAGGTTTTATTCCCGATAGACTCATTACTGAGAATATTATTGTTTCTTATGAACTTCACCACTATCTTAAAAATAAGATTTAGGGCAAGGAGGGTCTTAAATCTCTTAAGTTAGATATGATTAAGGCATTTGATCAACTTTAGTGGTCATTTCTTGTGAAAGTCATGCGTAAATCACTTTATCCCTCTGCATCAGATCTCCATTGGTTCAAGAAGATGTCCATAGATTGAGATAATCTTCTTGAATGACTATATGTCACATGGATTTAATCAAAGGTCGGTCTACTAAAGGAATCAAGATTTTTAAAATTTTTCGTTGTGCATGTCTCTATGATTCCTTACCTTGGAAACATTGATGTGTACTTGCACTTGGTTATGGAATGAAATAAATGGTAAATCAAAGTTTTGATTTCTAATTTGAAATAGTACAACTTTCTTAGTGTTTCTTAAATATGTGACTATTTCTTTGTGACTAAGAAATATGTGACTTAAATGAAATAAATGAAATAAATATATGAAATAAATGGTAAATCAAAGTTTTGATTTCTAATTTGAAATAGTACAACTTTCTTAGTGTTTCTTAAATATGTGACTATTTCTTTATTTTGGTCTAGCTACTTGTTCTACTTCGGAAGGGGGATCATGTGCTACATTGCTTGATGAAGAAGAAGATGTTGATTGTGTCGCAGAATAAGTAAATGGTAACTTACTCTCTCTTTTCTTTTTCCTTTGTCTATGGTTTTTACT